ATGGAAATACTATATAATACATGCATTAATTTTCTATTTTTAGTACAACTTGTGCACATGACTTTTGGTCTAAATTTATAAACTGGTTAGATGAATTCTAATGTCTTGACCGCAATAAGCCGCAATTAGAAAATTTTGAGTAAAAACTTGATAACTAAGTTGAAGAATTTCACGGTGACAATGTATCTGAAAAAATCAATAAAATTCAACCTACTTTAGGCAAATTTTTTTATCATTGTGTACAATACTAATTTAATGTGATTGGCGTAGCATGACAGAGTTTCTTAAATGATTATTAGTTACACAAATTATTTATATAGTAAATTCATATATAATTACAATGTGTCATATTATACCACATGGAAGACACGTCCGTTTGCCACAAATTTTATCAAAATATTCTTTTATTGCTATTCTACTCTTATATACATTATGATCTCTAGGATCTCTTAGTTCCACCAAGTTTTACTAGGAGGAACTTTAGAAATACCTTCATGTTATACAAAGTCAAAATATTGGTTTTGTAACCTTTAAAATCCAAAATATCTAATAAAACTTGGAATCTTTTTTTATCAAAAACCTTCAGAATTCACGTGAGCAAGGTTAGAACACGAAAAGATGATCATTTCTTTTACAGACTTTTTGTGAAACTTCAGGATTGGTGTTGCGAAGTTAATTTCTTATGAAATTGGTTTAGCCAATCAGAATCTTCATCGGTTAACCAATGAAATCAAAATACTGTCATGCTACCACCAACTAAAAGAATTGCGATCTGATAAAGAAACGTTACATTGAAACAAGATTTACTCGCTATTTTTAATTTATACATGATTTTTTTCCATAAATAATTTCTTTGTCATCACGTTTCAAAAAAAAAAATAAGCTTGTTTCAAAATTAAAACACATCATTTGATTTTTTTTTTTTAAAAAAAAAAAATTCTGCATTTACTGCGGAACTAAACATGAAAGGGAAACGGTAATTTTGAACAATTACAATTTAAAAAAATCCCTTTATACTAAATTCCGAAACAAAACCATATTTGTGTACCAATTTATCTAAAGACAAAGGATCATTATCAAAAAAATACACTCATTAAGATCCCCAGGAACAATATTAATAATATTAATGCAATGTTTCACATTTAGCCTATTCAAGCCAAAAAAAATATATATTTCCAAATTTGTCGTGTATTAACGTCCAATCAGATTCCTGAATTTCGGAATTGGAGAGCAATTACTTTTGTAACATTATGAATGAAAGTTTAAGTTTAATACTTTAGGTATAAAATTATTTTTATGTCCGGGGTCTATAAATATAATTAATATATTTCAGAAAGCGACAATTTCCTTCGATTTTTTTTTTTAAAAAAAAAAAAAAAGCCAAAAAGAAAAAGTTGACTTTTTTCATTTCCTAAAAAAATTATCTCAAAAATGACAACATCGTTAGAGAATTCGGATTGGATGGAAAAGAAAATAAATGATGGAGACATCAATTATTTCAAATATGATGAATTCAAAAATGTAGAAAAGGTTGGCAATGGAGCGTTTGGCGTTGTAGAAAAAGCTGACTGGATAAATGGTGGAAGTACTCAAGTGGCATTAAAGTCTCTTATGTTTATCCAAGATAAAGAATTGCTTGAAGAGGTAAATAAATGCAAGCGAAAAGTCAAGTAATACAAAACAAAAATCACTTATAATTTTTTTTTTTTTTTGTCATTGTTTTAAAAAAAACAAGGTAAAAAATTTAAGAAACCTTAATTTTCATAAGAATATAATACGATTTTTTGGAGTTACAAAAGGTAAATTATAATAATAATAGTCTGTTATTTTTTGCATGTTTAAAGACGTTATTTTTTTTTTAAAAAAATTGAATAGATGTTCGAAATCAATACATAATGGTAATGTCGTATGCCAATCAAGGAACGCTAAGAGATTATTTAAACCATAATTTTGATTCGCTTAAATGGGATAAGAAATTACAAATGGCTAAGAATATCGCAGATGGGTTGTCTTGCTTACATTCCCGAAATATCGTTCACAGAGATTTGGTAAACCACCAATTTAAATATGATCTAATTGAATTCAAATTCTTTGCTTTGAAATTCAAAAAAAAAAACATTTCTCCATTTTTTTAGCATGATAAAAACATATTGGTTCACGATGGTTCGTTGTTGATCGCAGACCTTGGATTATCTAGGCGATTGAATGCTGTAAAGTCTACTAATTCGAAAGTTCATGGAATGCCGGCATTTGTTGAACCGCAATGCTTTAAGAAAGAGAACGTACATTACTTGAGAGATGAAAAATCTGATATTTATAGTTTAGGTGTCCTCTTGTGGGAATTAACGAGTGGGCATCCTCCTTTTCGTAAATTTAATGATTTATCATTTAAAATAATTTCTAAAGTTAGTAATGGAGAAAGGGAACAACCAATAGGTGGTACACCTCAGGCTTATATTGATCTTTATCAGAGATGTTGGCAAGAAGATCCAAGTGAAAGACCAAATATCGAAGAAGTTTGCAATATATTGACATTTTTACCACCTCACATTAATGAGTTCAAATATGAAATTACTAAAGATATGGATGATGAAATGAACTCTGATGAATTTGACACACCTGCAATTGAATATGATAATGAAATCAGTAAGTAGAAGTTGTATTTATCAAAATCACGAAAATTCACATTAACCTCATTAATCAATGTCGTTTTCTAGGTGCGGCACTGTCATTAGTGGTACCAGATGATATACAAGAGGAATGCGACAATTCGTCATCGGTTGTCATACATAGTACCGACGAGCACGAAGAGGAATTAAGCGATACCGTATTACAAAGTATCACTGCGCATAAAGAGGAATCATCAGTTGTTTCACAAAGTGTGGATGAGAAGTCATCAGACACTTTACAAAATATTAATGAAACAAGTGACGCATTCTATGAGATCGTTCAAAATTATGTAATATATAATCATGTCGGGGATTCAAAAAATTTTAATTTTTTAAAATTTTTAAAAACATACATTTCAAAATCACGAGAAATTTTTGGATTTCTTGTTGAAAATCCAAGCATACAACATTATGAATTAATGATTGGAATATTTTATGAGATGGGATTCGGAATTGAAAAAAATAAAGCGAAAGCTTTTGATTGGTTTAAAAAAGCAGGTGATAAAGGGGATATTTACGGACTTTATAAAGTTGGATATTATTATTTTGATGGATGGGGTGAAGCAGGAAGTGATGAAGAACATTATAAGTTGGCATTTGAATTTTACGAGACTGCAGCTGGTGGTGAATTAAATATAGCCATACATAGGCTCGCATTTTTTTATGAATATGGTTTTCATGTACAGAAAGATTATGATGAAGCGTTCAAATTATATAAAAAAGCTGCCGAAAATGGATTCATCCCGTCTCAGGTAGATTTATCAAGGTTTTATTATTCCGGTAGAGGCACTCAAAGAGATAAAGTTGAAGCTTTAAAATGGTATCAATTGTATCAAAAAAACGGTGGATTAATTAATGTGTCTGATGAGATTAAAAAGATAGAAAGGAAAATGGTAAGATAAAGATAATTTCCGGATTATTAGATTTATCATGAACAATCACTAATATTTTTGTTTTTAATCGAATAGGAGAAACAAGATGATGGATCTTATATCTATAAAAGTTCTAGCTATTTTAATCTATCTTGGTATAAAGATTGGTACCCGTAATTCGAGATGATATTATTATTTGGTTGCAATCCTTTTTGGTTTTCTTGTGTACATATATTTCTTCATTTGTTTTATTATTTGTTCATTTTGTTCACAAAATAATAAATTTATATTTTTCTCTTCAATAAACAAAATGATTTTCCTAACATTACAATTTTGTACGAATTTTTCTTGTGTATCATCACATATAAATAATACGAAAAATATTTAAGTTGATCAATTGAGACCTTTGCCAATAGAACAGTGGGAAACGACTGGAAAAATAAAAAATGAGTTAATGCGTCATAAACTGTACTGTAAAAGTAAAATTGATTTTTTCCGACAGTTCCCCCTTTCTATTCTTTCTATTGCAAAGGTCCATATTTTCGTTTTATACTGAAATCTGACGTAGTATAACGAAAATATGCAAGAATTCATATGGGGGGTAACAAGGAATCCTTATTTATGGGTGTTCATCTCTTTAAACGTCATAAAAAAAATTTTCTTATGAAAATGATTTCTAAAAATTGCCTAATTTAGCATGCGTTTATCGATAGTTCCGGTTTGTGAACATAATTTTTACCGTTTTATTGGTTGGTGCAGCTACTAAATAAACAAGTCCATTAGTAATATAGTATTTCGGGCTAAACCGACTTTCTCCAATCCGAAACTTTTCACCCAGTGAACTTTCGGAATGATCCAAAACCTTTAATTAGGAAGCACTTTGTAGATCATCCTGAGCGAAACTAGTTTCTCCCGAAAATTAATTTTTATAAATTTCAACAGGAACATATTGTATGTAGTAACAACAAATTTATTTTTTATTTGATACGCCATATACCACTAGAATAAATCTCCATATTCATTGAATTAATGCATAATTTAGTATACTTGTAGTATAATATTCTTTTAATTGCTTTAGATCTAAAAGATTTATAAAAGGTTTGTGTAATTTAATACTTTTTGCATTTGAATTTAAATTCAAAGCATATTTTATTAGTAGTATAATAGATACTAATCAACTTGAAGCATTTTAGAACTTAATAATACGTTCAAAATAAACAAATTAACGCAGTGAATGATCATCAATTTTAACTTTTTTTTTTAAAAAAAAAAACCGGCAACTTAATTAATTTTCTGCGCCATCTCGCCAATCTGGATTAAGATCGTTTTGCAACTGAAACTGCGGTCACTAGTTTGTGTAATATTGCACTACATTTAATTTAAAACTTATTTCGGAAATTTTTTTTATAAAATTACTATTTAAAAAACTTTCTCACATAGATTTTAATATTAATTTCGTATTTTAAATAAGCAATAATATGGAGTCGGATACTAATGAACTTAATTCCGAAAGTTCTGAATTCAATTCTTATTTAGAAACTAGATGTTCAGATTGCAATAAACCGTATGTAGATGACAAATGGTGTAAAGAATGTAATGCTAAACATTTTCAACGAAACTTTTCCAATTGGACTAGTAAAAATAAGTTTATTGACAAATTTCTTCAAGAAGTTCAACTAAATGCTCAGAATAGTAAGCAAGTATTAGAATGGATTCCTTATGACAAATTTGAAAGCGTTAGATATTTTGACAAAGGAGGATTTAGTACCATATACAAAGCCACTTGGTTGGATGGATTTATCATAAATTGGTCTAATGATAAAAGAACATGGCTTAGAAAAAATAATTTTAAAGTAGTTCTTAAAAGTTTTAATAATTCATCAAATCTAAGTGAAGCATTTATGAATGAAGTATGATATCAATGTATTTCTTTAATTAATTTATTATATTTGTTTTACTAACTTTTGATTATTTATAGTGGAAATTTCATTATAAATGTTATAATTTATCAAATGATCATTTCATCCGATTACATGGATTTTCCCAAGATCAAAATACTTTAGATTACATGGTAATTATGGATTTTGCAGAGAAACATAGCTTACGAAAAAATTTATCAATTATTGTTAAAGATAAATGGATAAATAAATTATTAATATTGTATAGTATTATTAGCGGACTTTATGTAATACATCAGCAAAATGTTATTCATTGTGCCTTTCATCATGGTAATATTTTAATGAATACAAATAATACTTTGTTTATCAGTGATTTGGGATTATGTAAACCTGTAGATTATTATCAAACATCTAAAAAAAATGAAATTTATGGTGTTTTACCATTTGTAGCACCTGAAGTATTAAGAAGTCAACCTTATACTTTAGCTGGTGATATATATAGTTTTTCTATGATTATGTGGGAATTAATATCAGGAGTTACTCCATTTAATAATGAAGCTTATGATTTTCAACTTAGTTTAGATATTTGTAAAGGTAAACGTCCTAAAATAATTGAAAATGCTCCCAAATGTTATATAAATTTAATGGAAAAATGTTGGGATAATGATCCATTAAAAAGACCATTCGCATCAGAAACCAAAGATATTATTGAAAATTGGTATCAAAATATTAATGCATATGACACATATGAATATGTTGATAAAAAAGTCATAAATGATATTATACAATTTCAGGAAGCGGATGAAATTTTAGAACAAGAACCATCTAACACTTTTACGATGTGTGAATATAGACAAGATATACTCAATGAATATTATGGTTTATGTTCTGATTGCAATCATGCAAATACTTATTGGGATTATTGTCAATTTTGCAATTCTAAACAATTTGAACAAGAATTCAGTAGATGGACTAGTGGAAATGATCATATAGATAAATTTATTCAGGAAACTCAATTAAAAGCCAGAAATTTTCAAGAGATTTTAGAATGGATTCCATATAATCGTTTAAGAAATATACAATATTTAACTCAAGGTGGATTCAGTACAATATATAAGGCTATTTGGTTAGATGGTCCAATTAATAAACAGCGTAATGATAAAATATTTAATAAAGAATGGCATAGAAATAATAATGACCTTAATGAATATGATTATGCATATGCAAGGAAAAATATTATTAAGGAATCATTTAATGAAATTGAAAATGAAATTGACACAAATATAAGAAAAAAATATATTATATCACCTCTTAATGAAAATGAAAAGATTGGATTTTACGTAGTATTAAAATATTTGACTGATTCTCAAAATATTGACGACGAATTCTTGGATGAGGTAATTAATGTTATTCTATTATATAATATGTTAATGGCTAATTAATATTTAAACTTAATTTTAGTGGAAAAATTATTTGAATTTTTCATATTCTATGAAAAATGAATATTCAATCTTTCTTGAATTATATGGAATAACTCAAGATCCCGAAACTTTGAATTATATCATCATTATGCAAGAAGCAAAATGTGGGAATTTAGGATTAAATTTAGCAATCAAGAAATATAATTTAAATGATAAATTTCATAATTTGTATACTATCGCAAAAGCGCTTTCAGCATTGCATAAATGTGATTTAATTCATGGAGATCTTCATGGAGGTAACTTGCTTTTACATGATTCAGAACTTGTTTTTATAAGTGATCTTGGATTATGCCGACCTGTTAATAAGCGATCTAATGAAATTTATGGAGTACTTCCTTATGTTGCACCAGAAGTTTTTAGTAGTAAATTATATACCAAAGCTGCAGATATTTATTCATTTGGTATAATTATGTGGGAAATGACATCTGGCATTCCTGCATTTAATAATATCGCCCATAATCTCCAACTTTCTTCAAGCATACGTCGAGGATTAAGACCGATAACTGTTGAAGGAACGTTACCCGAATATGCAGAATTAATGAAAAAATGTTGGGATCCTGATCCTAGTAAAAGGCCAACTGCTGATATATTAGAAAATATTTTTAATAAGTGGAGGAGAAAACATCCATTTAATTACTTTAATAGAATTACGGTACCAGGTAAATTATAAATTATTTATTTTAATTTTTATTAATTTAAAATCATCATAATTCAATGTCGTTGAAATATTTTATAGAAAATGAATTTATTATTGAATATCATCCATCATCATGCTATACAAGCCGAGAAATAGATTATTCGGCAGAATTGGGGAGATTTTTAATAGAAGACTTTTCATCTAGTAATTTTGTAGAATTTAACGATGCCTTGGCAAAAAATAACTTAGCAGAGTCAATGGAAGACTCTTCATCTAAAACAATTATTAATTATGCAGAGGTTTTGACAACAGAATATTCAGATTATTTAATGGAAGATTTAAATATAGAACATCTAGAAGAGGATGAGCTTGAAAAACGAGTACTTTATTTTAGTAAAAGGTTGGATTTCTATACCAAGCAATTAAATGATAAAAAGACTCGTAAAATCAATGTTAACTAGGTAGGGTTTAAACTTAATATGTATTAAATAATATTATCAAAAGATGTTATCAAGTAATAGAAGATTTTATATAATAAATAAAATATATATACATATTGTTTTGTTCTCATAAATAATTAAACAAATTAATTTTTTCTATTTGTCATAAATTTTTAATTTTTTAATTTTTTCAGACACATCAGGATATCCGCCATTCTTTTGAAATAATTTATACCATTTTAGAGCCTCGACTTCGTTAATTTGAGTATAAAAACCATGACTATAATGATATGCAACTTTAAATTGAGATGTTATAAATCCTTTTTCTGCTGAAGTTTTGTAAAGTTGAATTGCCTTGTGAATTAATATTTCTTTTTCAAGACTTATAGTAAATTCATAACAATTCGCGAGTTTATATAAAGCTATATTTGGTCCACAATTAATGATATGTTCAAAACACTCTTTAGCTTTTAACTTGCTTTTTTCGATTCCACGTCTGTGAAAATAGCACGCGCCGACTTCGTATTTACCGTGTTCATCCTCCTTTTCGCATGCTTTTAGAAACCATTTAAACCCTTCTTTTTGATTTTTATCAGTTCCAAATCCTTCCTGATAAAATTTACCAATCACTACTTCAGAATGTTGTGTTATTTTTGGATTATTAATTAAATAATTAAAAATTTCTTTCGAATCTGATTCATATTCTTTTAAAATATTTATAAAATTATAATTTTTGGTCCATCCGGTATTATTATATTTTAAGTAACTTTTAATAATTACATCCAATTTATCTTTTGTAGTTTTAGTTGAATTATCTAATTAATTAACAATTAGTTAGAAAAATGAAAATTGCAATAATACGATTATCCAACAAATAAACTTCAAACTAAACTCACCATTTTTCTTTCCGATTAAAAGGAAATTTATAGGTTCCATACTATTAACGCAAGTAGCTGTTGATGAATTAGAATCATTATCTGTACTATGAGTCGTCGGATTAACTTCATTTGAATTGAATTTTAATTCCAATTGCTTTAAAATTCCATGAACTTTTTCAATATCTGGCCTTTTATCAGGATTATCATCCCAGCAATCTTGATAAAGTTTTTGATACTCTGGAGGTGTATTTTCTATTGGTTTTTCTCTATTTTTCGAAATAAGATGATATATCAATGCGTATCTATTTCCAAAGTTCGGAAACGGGGGACGTCCACTTGTAATTTCCCATGATAAAACACCTAAACTATATATATCCGACTTTTTACCTCTTTTGAAATTGGAAACCTTGTAAAATTGTGGATCTATATATTCGATCATTCCACACCCAGAGGCAGTTGAATTTGATGTCATTAGTTCTAAATGCCTAGATATTCCAAAGTCTGCAATTAATAATCTACCATCATTTACAAGTATATTCTTCGAGTGCTATAATATAATTAGAATAATTATTAATTTAATACCAAACATTAGAATAAAAGATTATGACAATAAATCAATCAATTACCAAGTCTCTATGAACAATGTTTTCTTTATGTAAACACATCAATCCGCAAGTAATATCCAATGACATTCGAATCTTATCTTTCCATTTTAATGATTTAAATATTTCTTCATTTCCTAAATAATCTCTCAAGCTTCCTCCATTTGCATATTCCAATACCATAATATAAGTTCCATCAGAATCTATTAATTTTAAATAAGAAGTTATGTTGAATTTAAAGTAAACTATTAAATGAATCATGAGATTCTCAATACATAACCTTTTGTTATTCCAAGGAATTTATTGATATTAGGATGATAATGAAATTGACGAAGTATTTTCAACTAAAACAAATTATTCTCAGATTAAAACAATTACGAAAAATATTTATGAAAAAATTAAAATAAAAGGCCTTCATACTTCATTGACAAGGTCAACTATTTCATTTTTTTTAATCGTCAAGAGACTTTTCAATGCGACTCGAATTCCTCTGCTGGTAATATCCGCTCTACGCACAATGCCGAACCCCCCTTCACCAATTTTAACAAAATTACTAAGTTCCTCATATTCAAAACGAGTAATGTCACCGATATTTATCTTTTTTTCGATCCATTCCGTTGATGATGTCATTATAGTAATTCTTAAAAAAAAAAGGAATTTAAACAATAGTGTATCATTTATATTGTTGTTGATCGTATCACATTATTTTGTCCAACGTAATTTTATTTTGTGTAACAATTGGAATAAAAATGGATGGAAACTAATTAATTTTAGCAAAATAAATTAATTATGTGTATATAATATATATAACTTTAAAAATAATTAATTGCAATACCTATTTAAGAAATGTATCAATAATCATAAATTTCAGTTTTGTATAAAATATAATTGATTTATTGCAAATATTAAAAAATATATAAAGATATATAATTTATTTAAATTTATGTATAATATTAGAAATATTTATATTTAAATATAAATAAAAATCTTAAAACGTGATAATTATTAATTATTACAAATAAATTTAACTAAAAGAAAAAAATAAAATCTCTAAGATCATTTTTAAAGATATTAAATCATTTTCTAAAAATAATAACAAATAAATATTAAATAATAGCATTTATTCCTTAAATTAACAATAATTATAAATTTAATGTTAATTAAATTTTTATACAAATAATTATTTTTATAAATTTTGCTCTTTTAAAAAGTTTGAATCAGTATAAAATTTATTATTTATTATTAATATTAAATAATTTTTTGTTATTAATTATTAATTATTTACTATAAAGAAAATGATTTAAATCTTTCATAATCATAATAAAATTGAAATATAAATTTGGATTAATTTTACATTCATTTTTGATAAAATTCATCCTGGTGATTTGTATCATAATTTGCATAAAAAATTTAAAATTTAAAAATAAAATTTACTCTAAAGGTAAATTCTACTGATTTATAGAAATATCTGATATTACATTATTATTTGTTAATAAAAACATAATTTTTCTTCTTTTATTTAGCATTTTATTTAGAAATATAAGTATCATATATTGAGTGTTAAATTTTGATTTAAATAAAAATAAGCATTTTTCATTGATGTGATAATTTTGATTTTTCTATCCCTAATTGTGTTACAAAACTGGTAACTATATTTAAGTAATTTGTATTATTTCTTAATTTTAAAATTGATATATATGTCTTAGTTTTTATATAATTATCAAAATAATCTTTTTGAATTTGTTATAACCTTTTGTAAAAATATTATTTACTTTATCCTCTTTACATCACATACAATACATAAAAAGGTTTTCTTTCATGTTCTTTCTTCTTACTAATTATAGATAGGTTTGTGATCACTTAGGATTCCAGTTATTTTGTTTCTTTTTATATTTTTTATTTAGTATTTTTTTATATGATTTAGAAGTGCTAATAGGAGGTTCAATTATTTTAATATCATTATCACATTCTTTATGTTTTCCTTTTAAGCTACCTATATTTTGAAAATATTTTTCCATTTTTGGATAAAACAAAAAAAAATAAAAGATAGATATTCGTCTAATTGTCTTTTTCATTCTTTATTTTATTTTATGAGAATTTAATTACCTAAATAGATAATTGTTGAAGGTAAAGAACATTTTTGAAATATTTGTACAATTAGCATAACATTTTGTAAAAAATTTGCATAATTTGTGAAATTTATGCAAAATATGTGAAGAGATTGCATAAAATTTATGCAAAATTTTATAAAATTAAGATTACATGATATACAGATCACAATCACGTGTAAATTTGTGAAAATTAAAAAATAAGTTATATTTTGCAAATTTCGCAAATAGATTTCATATACTGGCTGAGGTTTAAAATTAGTTTCTTAAAGACCAATAATGTCTATATTATATGAAGAATATAAGAAAAGCAGATAATATTGTTTAGCAATATTAGTAAAAGATTGAATATTATATATAGTGAAAGAAAGTTTTAAAATATTTAAAGAGGTCATATTAGAATAATTTTATAAAAAGAAAGGAGAATTATTGTTATTTTCTACAGAGACAGTAATCATAAATAATAATTTTAAAATTGATAAAAACTAACAATAATCTTTATAGCTTTCGTATTATATATAGTATTGAATGTGTATATTGTTAATTTTTTTCAACTAATAGCAAATTATTATGAATAAGAATCATTCTAAAAGTATTACAAGAGTTGACCAAGATATTGATCATTTCTGTAAAATTCTTAAAGCGTAAATTCTGCACATCAGTAATTTTTTTAAAACTATAATAGTTTGTCTTTATTTATTAATAATTGATATAGAGGTATTAATTATTAAGCTATTATTATATTATTTCATATTATAGTCTTTAAGAATTTCCTCTTCAGAGTAGCTAACTTTGATATTGAGTGTTTGTTTAATTGTATCTATTCTGTTCATAGTGAAGCAAAAGTAACTATAAGATCATCTAATTTTATAGTCATTATAGAAAGCTAGCTTTGATAAAGTCTTTGAAGTATGTGTTGTATTTTTTTCATATATAGAGTCACCTATTTATGTATCAGTGGAGATATCATGTATATTATTTTAGGTCTTTTACTTTTAATAATCTGAATGTATTATATCAGAATACATCATTATTTCAGAAAGTGATTAATTTGTTAAGCTATTTGTTAGAGTCACTTTTATTATCAGTTCTTATAGATAAAGTCACTTGTAATTTAACTAAGGGTTTAGACTTATCTATTTACTCTTATACAATCAATTTACATTCACTTAAATAAGAATTATGTATTACAAGCACTTAATAATAATATTGAAGATCCAAATCATGTTATCTTATTCTGTGATAAAGTATTTATAGGTGAGTGAAAAATTGGGTATGATTACTGTAATAACCTGAATTATGATGGTTTAAAATTTTTTATAACTAACCTCTAATTATTATAAATAATTGTATAAGTTTCTAGTGATAATTATTGAGAGGTTTTTTACAAAAAAAAAAAAATTTATATAATTTTATATTTAAGTTTATATAATGTAAAATATAAACCCAAATGGCAAAGATGGAACTAAAAATTAGTGAAAATAATAGCTTTGTTTTTCTCTACCTATTTGTAAAAATTTATGTAATGCTAAAAATTTAGTTAAAGTCAGAAAGCATGATAATAAAAAGAAATACTAATATATATTACAAATTCTTAAATTACACATTATTGCGCTATATTACTGCATCTAGATATTTTTGAGACATTGATATATAAATTAATCTACAATACATGTAATAAAAAATTCACTTCTTCACTTAATATAACTAACCTGAGATGATTTTGTTAGTTTTTTTAGCTTTAATCAATTATGGACTTATGGAATCTAAAAATCTTATGACTAAAATTTCATAATTTAATTAATTTAATTCAAATTAAACCATTTAGAGTATTAATAGATATATAGAGGGTGATTACAGGTACTTGAACGATAAGTATTTTTTGTTTATTCGTTTTGTTTACATGTTTACATATATTTCTAATTTAAGCATTTATTTAGAATATAAATGGATGTCGATCACAATAATAACAAATAATTTTCTTTTGAACAAAAATGGTTAAAATAAAAGAATTAAATGCTGAACAATATGGAGCAATTCTTTACGGCCACAAATGAGGTGATTCATATCAAAAAATTGCTG